AAAATCAAAAGTTCATCATTGACGATTCAAATGAAATTTTTCACTACCGGTCACCGGTCGTTATCATAGTTCATCGAAAGCTTTTTCTAGCAATACGGGTGACTTTTGACTGGAAGTTACATCCTCTAAAACAAGTTCAATGTGTTTGCCTCATCGAGACTAATTCAGTTGAGTTATATGCAGCATGACCTTTCTGGTTCAGCCCAGGTTAAAATTGTGCTTCTGTCAAATTAGGTATATATCATTTGACCACAATGGATCAGAAAAACACGGCTGTGCAAGCCTCAATCGTCTATCTCTGCGGAGTCGAAAGTTGTGACAGAAAACGTTTTCACGGAAAGCAAACTTCATGTTTTTTGCACCCTCTATATTCATTTGCAAAAAGTCTTTCCAGCAAGATCTATTGTATCGACAAGGGGTGTCGTAAATTATAACGCGTTCAGGAGTCGGAGTCGAGGCAGCTGAGCCTATTCAAACTCCTGACTCGTGGCCACGACTCCGGCGACTCAGATTCCGACTCCGAAACCTGTTTGTGATGACTACAGAACGGCTTAAGATATCGACACTAAACTTGCGTTTCTTTTTGTTACATCATTTATGCACATTCTGTAAAAATTTTGGCGAAATCCGACTTTTTTGGGGGGATGGGTGTTTTATTACGTCATTAGACGCGATTTTCGTCTCCCCTCCCTCTTCCTCCCCTCCCCTTCCCTTCCTCCCTCCTTCTGACCTATCCTACCGAGGCAAAATATACCACCGGATTTTAGTTGTTCTTTTCTTTTACAGGAGTCGGAGCTTCTTGGCGGAGCAGTTGGCGACGATGGAGAAGATGCTCAAGACGGACCTGATATCATCAGCCTCTTTGTCGCGTCCAAGCAGGGGTGGCGTTTAAAGCCAACCACGGCACGGCGACAGGAGCGGCAGCTCAGGGCTCTGTTCAGGGAGGTGTCGGACTCAAAGAGTCCCTCTGATATACTGCGGAACCACCTCGACGACGTGGAGCGACTTCTCCTCAAGAAAGTCCCCCACCAAACTGCTTCGGTGAAATCGGCAGTCATCGCCCTTTTGGAATTCGAAAGGTTCGCCAGCGTACGTGAGCCAGAGCACGCTGTGCAGTGGGATGCCGCCCGACGGCGCTTACAGACTTGGAAGCGCGATGCATCGTCTCTGGACCTACATAGAGAGGCGCAACTCCAAGATAAACTCGGAGAAGACGGTTACCTGCCCACCCGAGAACAGCTGAATGAGCTACGGAAACTAGTTGAAGCCGAGCTCCCAAAGATGTGCGCGATGACTTCCGACATTCGGCGGACGGACGCCGTAAAGATGAGACGCCTTCTAACTTCTGCGATCCTCCTTCAGAACTTCCAGAGGTCTGGGGTTATCAAAAATGCAAGACTGGACGAGTATGCTAAAATGAAGAACGAAGTTCTGCGAGTGAAGGACCACAAAAGCAACGCAACGTACGGATCCGCGAACTTGGTCGTTCGCGGTCTGGTGAAACATCTCGAGGTGTACGTCGAACACTTCAGGTCGTTCCTGGTAACAGAAGATAAGGTGGACCTGCTGTTCCCCTCATCGGACCCGGCGGACGACATCGCCGAAGTCTGCCGTGGATTCCAGGTAGACTTTAAGCTGACGCCTACGATGATCAGGAAGGCTGCCTCCACCGCCGCGTATGACGACCTGACGGACAGCGAGCGCCGTAAACTGGCGGACCACATGACACACAGGTCGGCTACGCAGTTCCGCGCCTACTCAGCAAAAAACAGGCGGGCGGAGGCGACCAAAACGGTGCAAAAGATGAAGCAGGTGCTGTATGGCTGTGATGAGACGACAGACACAGAAGATTCTGAGCCTCGTCCAGCTGCTGTGGCCTTCAGCTCAGAAGAGGTGGCAGTCTTGGAGAAGCAAGTGCGCAAGATGATCAGTGATGGTACGTTTGTGTCTAGCAGGCTGGCACTTACTATGATGTCAAGGAACAGCCCTTTGTTTGACTCACGATCACCTAAGTGCGTCGAGAACAAACTTAGGGCAATGCTACAGAGTGCTCGTGAGAAGGGGCGGTGGGACCGGTATGCTGATGAGAGGGGAGGACGGTCGCGCAGGCGGTAGTTTCACGGACAGCCGTGTGGTACACACAGAAAAATATTAACACCGTTAGCGGTGTAATTGCACAGTACATATCTGAGCACTTGAGGAAAGTTAATTTAGTCCCTTCCCCGCTTAAATTACTCGCGCTTCCAAATGAACACCAGGAAGAAGGTAATAGAACACTGTTAGGAGGGTTGGGTGTTTTGCTACATGTAGTAAAACACCCAACCCTCCTAACAGTGTTCTATTACCTTCTTCCTGGTGTTCATTTGGAAGCGCGAGTAATTTAAGCGGGGAAGGGACTAAATTAACTTTCCTCAAGTGCTCAGATATGTACTGTGCAATTACACCGCTAACGGTGTCAATATTTTTCTGTGTGTAATCGCTCTGTTGTGAGGGGTGCCCCCGCAATTTCAACCGTTCACAGCGTTTTTTTTTTCAAGTTCTGCTGCGACAGTCGTATGGCAATCGTTCTGTCAGTTGTGAGGTGTACCTTGTCCCCGCAATCGGCAACCGTTCACAGCGTTTTTTTTTTCAAGTTCTACTGCGACAGTCGTATGGCAATCGTTCTGTCAGTTGTGAGGTGTACCTTGTCCCCGCAATCGGCAACCGTTCACAGCGTGTTTTCATAGTTCTGCTGCGACAGTCGTGTCGCAATCGTTCTGTTGAGTGAACTCGCGATCGTTCGCGTTCACACAGCGTTTTTCCAAAGTCGTTGGAAAATACACTGCATTAAGATGAGCACTGTATGTGTTAACGAATACCTGCTCCCATGACAAGTATGCGATAGTAGATGATAAGCATTTATCGGAATTCACTGGGATGAAAATCAATAGCATACAAGTCCATATATTTCGACAAATATTGCTTTGTCTTGATCAGCTGGACAAAAATATATAAAAATTATTTCATTAAGTATCCGAGAGCAATAATGTAAAGTAAGAATGTTAGACAAATGGCAATGTTTGGCTAATGTTTGGTTAGAATGACTGCCGTGGGACACCTGGAGACTTAATACCAGACAACAGCCGGGAGCACAGCTTAGGAGTTTGATGGGATTAACGTCGCGGGGTCACTAGCAAGCACGCGGGCGCGACTGCACACTGGCACGTGGACTGGCTGTGGAAATGTGATAACAGCTACAAACGTAAGTTACACAGGAAATGTCGAATTTCACTGCGGTTTTGATCAGTCACCAGTCAACTATTCGCCGGACACTGTATCTGTTATCACTGATGACGTGATAACTGTATCTTTTATCACGTCATCACTCCGCCACCTAGCATGACCCGGTTAAATTTGTTTTACCAAACGATGGACAATGATGCCCCAACATGTGTGAGAAGTTTCATTATGATCCTTGGACTGTGGATCCTTTGATCCTTAAGACTGTGGGTACCAGCGTAAGAAAACCTCTAGACTTTGGCACACACCCCGGAAGAACCGGTCGGAGGCTGTACCTCTTTGGCATCAATAACTCATTGACCTGACATTTAGCGTCCGTCTAGGATAAAACTTGGAAGGGTCGATACGACCCACCTGCCTGTGCGAGGGTTAATTCACCATACTTGACCCGTTTTCGAAATGTATTCCGCTAGCCGCTTGTGGTCAGTAGTGTGAAACGCCCCCCCCCCCCCCCCACATACACACATGCAATTATAAACACCGACAGTACAGGGTGGATTAAGACTCGTAATACGTCACAAATCCATACACCCCTTAAGACCCTTAATAACACTTAAATAGCTGAATAGCTGAATCAAGACCAGAGTGAAACATTAGGACATGATGTGAATATCACATTTCAGGAAGTGTTATATGTTATGTAATGCTAAAGATCAATCAAATATACAGAATAAACAACGCAACATATAAATCATTAATAAAGTTTTTTCCTGTAATGCGCTTAAATCGTCATTTTTTCCCTTCATGCGCTTAAACACGCAATTTATTTGTCATTTTTCGGCGCACTGCGCCGACAAGGGACAAATTTCTGGGACTTAAAAGCGCACATAGGCAAAAGTGCGCCAGAACTGAACCAGCCCAAAATATAAAACTTATTTTTTAGGAAAAGTATGACGAAGTTCTTATTTATTGAAGTGTTTTATGATGTTTTAAGATGAGACGAGTAATATCCAAACACTCGTTCTTCAATTTAACCGTTTTTTTGTTAAATCACTTTTCACAAATTCAGCTTAAAAGTCGAGTGGGGCTGCATGAGTTTAACATTGTCCATACAGCCAGATGGGGCGCAATTTTCCTGAAGTGCGAATAGCTGCTAGCCGAGACCAAAATCTTGATCCGCGCATAAAACACTGGTAAATATGATGAAAAGCATCATATTGTGTACAGTAACGGGTAATTTATCAGCTTTATATTAAAGAAATTCACATTTTAAAAATGTCCACTAGTATTGAGGGAAATTGCTGATTTTCCACTCACGGCGCATTTTGGTCAGTATAAGCGCACTTAAAAACATGAGCGAATTTCGACGCTGTGTTTGCTCAAATTTAATGCATTTAAGTCATATTATTACTTTGCCATGTTCCTGAGCATAATACATGCATATTTCATTCAGTGGCATCGAGCGTTTGAAGATTATGCGGCATTTTACTTTCTTTCCAGTCCAGGCGCATTTTCCTGTGCAAAAACGCAGGAAAAGCGCAGTCCAATCTAAGCGCACCGTGTACATCGGCGGCGCACTCGTTTCCTCGTAAAGCGCAATCCGATTCCCGTTCTCGCCGCGGCCTGCCCAGCTACCGGAACTGTCTGCCGCGCTGCGACAGATGAGCTCGTCCCGCGCGAGTGGCCCCGACGGCATAACTGTCGATATGCTGAGGAAGACGTTTGCTGTTGTGGGGCCCCATCTGCTACACCTGATTAACTCTTGCGTCACTAAATGCGACATGCCTGACCAGTGGAAGTCTGCCGTCATCATCCCGCTGTATAAGAAGGGCGACCGGCAGGACCCGAGCAACTACCGGCCGATATCTATCATTCCTGTTGTTGCCAAGTTGTGTGAGCGCGTGGTATGTTCCCAGTTGACGTCGTACCTAGACCGCAACGCTCTGCTCTGCCCGCAGCAGTATGGCTTCAGGCCCGGCATGTCCACGGGGGCGGCTATGCTTGACGTTGTCACGTATGTCACTGACAATATCGACAAAGGCCTCGTGACGTCACTCGTGACAGCCGATACGTCCAAGGCGTTCGACAGCGTCGAGCATGGCCGCCTCCTGGACAAGCTGGGCTGGTACGGGATTCGAACTGACTGGTTTTCTGACTGGTTGAGTGGGCGCAGTCAGGCTATCGGGTCGTGTCCGCTGAGCGTGACGCACGGCGTGATACAGGGGTCCATTTTGGGACCGAGCCTGTATTTGCTTTTCACCAACGACCTGGCCCAACATCTGTCAAATGTCAAACTAGTGATGTACGCTGATGATGTCCAGATCCTTGACGCTGACACTCCCAGTAACGTCTTGGCTATCAAAAACCGCATCGAAAGTGACCTATCTGTACTCGTGCAGTGGTTCACTCAGAACCGGCTGAAAATTAACCCATCCAAAACTGAAATGACCATTTTGAAATCCAGTCGTCAAAAAACTAACACCAGTTTCTCGATCCACTTTGGCGGTGACGTAGTTTCACCTTCACCGAGCGTCAAGGTTCTGGGTATCACCATCGACTCTCACCTGACGTGGGATTCACATGTCACGTCTGTCGTCCAGCGCTGCAACATGATACTTGTTAGCCTAGCGAGAATGCGGAACAGGCTGCCGACGGAGACTAAGCGCCTGCTTATCGAAGCGTTAGTGTTTCCGCACATACAATACTGTATTAGCGTATGGGGTGCCTGCTGCATCGCTCAGAGGAAACGCATCCAAAAGGTGCTGAATTTCGGCGCACGTGTCGTGTCTGGCCTCAGCCGAAGAGATCACGTGACTCCTGTGCTTAACGAGCTGGGTTGGAAGTGTGTGGACGACTTGATTCGTGACAGTGACGTAGCTGTGGTTAGTCGCCTACTTACTTCGGACAGTGCACCACAAATCCTGCGGAGCAAGTTGGTGCTCAGCTCCGACGAGTCAGCTCGCACCACGCGTGCGACCGAGCGGGGACAGCTGCGTCTGCCCCGAGTCCGAACCGAGTTCGGCCGTCGTGGATTTTTGTTTCGCGCCAGCCAGCACTGGAACGAGTCCTCAGGAGCGCGTCAACAGTAGGTGTGGTCGACTGGTTAGTGTACCGGAAGATGTCTTAGATGTGTATTTTACTCTGTGGTTTCACTTCTATCCGGTTTTACTGCAGTGTTTTATCCAGATGTGTTTTCGCATGTATACGACGTGGTCACCACAAAACCCATGTAATGGAGGGACCTAATAAAATTGTATTGTATTGTATTGTATTATTGTCACCCCAGTCTGGCACTTCTAGTTGTGAATAGTCATGCTGACACCGCCAGTGCCGGGATTCATATAATGGTCGTCATATAATTTAACTGCCGGGATTTTCTCAGCCGTCTTATCTGGACGCTCCGATGCTCTCGGCGGCTCTGAACCTTCTGGGCTGTTAGTAGCAGAGGTTGCTGGGCACAGACGTATTAACGTGGGTGAGCGACAGCCGATAGTCGGTCAGTGCTGTAACCAGGCTGTGCTGAACCTTCCCATAACCCCTTCAGATAGGCTGTTGATTGTTGGATTATAGTGTCTGAATGGTTTGCAAATGTTGCTTAGTGTCTAGTGATCATTCGAACAATGTAAATCAACAATTCATGCTGGAGTTATCAAAAAGAACGACTGTGATAAAGGCATGATCAATAATATGATAGGTTTACTATGTTTTACTAAAAGATGAGGCAGTACAAAAGTAAGGTCTCATGTGGTATTATATTTTCATGAACGCCCATGACCTGAAACATCGCATTTTTCCTTATTGGGTGTAGGTAGGGTGAAGCACCTCCATGAATCATGATGGGGGAAGGGGGCGGGGAGGGATGAGGGGGCTTGTGCGTGGCGCATATCGGCAAACATGTTTTTCGGTCTGCTGGCACCTTTTGTTCTATTTCTACCCGTCTTCTTTTTGTCCGCCGCTGTGACAATTCTACATCACCTATCTTCCCTCGGCATCGTGCTGTCATTGAATAACTTTGTCTTGTCAGCACTCAAATCATTTTCAAAGGAATGCACATTGCACATGTATGTTACAGTCTTTGCGTTCCTATCAGTGTGAATCGTCCCTCCCACACCAGCTATCCCACCAATCAGCGAGGAACGACAGGACATCGATTGATCTCTTCGCTAACATTAGAAAAACAAAAGATGGCATGTCGAAGGGTGCGCGGCGAAGCATGACGGATACGTCATGCAACCGTTGCAATCACATTTTTCTTTAGAGCGAAGCGACACGTTTACCCATGGACACCAGCGACACTGCCGCTATGAAGCATCTAAAGCTCTTTTCATCTCAAGATCTTTTATCGTTATGTCGTTGAGCGTGTCTGAGATCTTTATTTCATCCTGTGCTGGCTGTAACATCCTGCTTATTATATATGTTTGGTCGTTGGTCTGTTCGTAGCTGCAGTTGCAATTTTGCAATTTTGCAATTTTGCCCCTTTCCTTCTCCCATTGTAACTATAATGCTGATTTCCGTAGATCTGCCCCTGCCCAAAAATCAGCTGACTGGTCATGACTTTCACCTCTGAGCAGCGATCGAACCGGCGCCGATTTATGTTCAATTCGTATTTTATTTCTGCACCTGCCTGGGTGTTCGCTTGCGTCAGCGATGAACACTGTCAGAATGACGGTGACGTAGGCACTATTAGTGATGACGCCATCAGCCCCGAATACCGCCGTAACTTACGGTTGTAATGGGGGAGGGGCGCTGGGGCCGTTTTGGGTGGTACGATTTAGTACGGCGCTTCGTCGCGCGCTGGCTTGCGTATACTATGCGCTGGGGTAAAGGGTGGGGGCTGTTCCACGGACTGAAGGCCAGTAGCTGGCAAACCGGTTCGCCACAGCTGTCCTCTGCCAGTTTTCCTCGCTCTCCCTAATTTTTGTCGCCACACCACCGGCGCCGACTTTGAAGCAGCTGTCGGTTTGTAATGACCAGAAGCATTGCGTGGCTTGAGGAAAATATAACGTATTATGCGGCATAGCTCTTTTATAGCAGTTCTAAACTTGGATATTGTTGATTCCGAGAATACTGAACGCTTACTTATATGTGCTGTCAAGGTGAACGCAAGGAATTAATGAAAAGTCATGTCAGTCGAATGAAAGTGAAATTGGTTCAGAATCCCTACTGGAAGTAATGTCGCCTGTCGGCTTAAAAATATCTTATTAAAATCTCAAGTAGATTCGTATAGCAGCTGGTTTCATCTTGATGCCTCGAGCACTGTCATTTTTTCTGATATTGTTTGCAAAATAATCCAAAGAAGATGAAAGCGTAAGGTGCGCTCTCATAATGTCGAAAATTTGCATTTGTTTACCGCTGTCCTTTTCTCTAATATCACTTTATTTTTCTCCCCATTTTCCTTCCTTTTACTCGTGGCTTTGCTATTAGTTTTCGTCACTTACCGGTGACACGACTATCCGCTGGTATAACTCCTGTCGACAGAATGTGTAGACGTACAACGGCTCTCCCGAGGCAGGGCTCATTCATTCTGCCACCTCGCGAATTGAGGTCGCCATGATGAGCGTAAAATGGTGAATGGTTACACAGTCGACGCGTCCTGGAATTCAAACAACAAAGGTCACCGCGAGGTCAATCTTCATCCTTTTTTTACAGTGCGTGTAGGCAGGAACGTGGTATAAAATTGTCTGGCAGGCTCGTCACAAACTCTTCTATGACTACGTTGACATGTTTTGTCGTTTTATCGCTCTGGAGTTCAGACGCCGTGCTGTGAAGTCGTCTTTCTCTTGAGTCTTACCTTACTGAACCGACGTGAATATGACAGATACACTGGAAACACAGACTACAGCATAAAAAACGTGTTGGTAACAGTCATCAGAATCTGTTTAATGTTGAACGTCTTTAATGCTTTCATAATAAAATATTAACGGTCTCATTTCGTCTTGGGTACAGCTCACTGCCGTCACATGTTTATTTCATACATCAGGAAATAAAATATGAACGCTTGCTTCAAAACTTCGAAACTTTAAGGCAAAGTTGTCCAACATCGCATGGGGTCGGGTTATTATTCATTAAAACATGCATGAAGCTACATGTTATGAGGTGTTTATTTCCCGTTACACACTGCGAATCAGTGTCATTTCGTCTAGTCAACTTTTGCAGCGTTTTCTCATCTGCCTGGGCCTTCCTGCTATTGTGCAGTCTCGGTGAAGACCAATTACTGAGGACTTACTAAGGACTCAAGACTAAATGAACACAACAGCCAAACTCTGTCGACTTTATGCCTTACTGGCTATGCTTGTGCAGCCTGGATCTACCAAAATCAATTCTCAACGTCCGGCATTTGTTTCGTTGGTATCTCCACGGTGACTATAAATACGGTGATCTCATCTGGATTTGGTCACGTGATCATTTTCGAGCGCAGCGCACGTGCAGTTGTGGCGAGGGCACTTCCAGAAATTCTGGATCCATGCGATTTTGGAGCCAATGTAAAGTCTATGGGGAAATGGTTCATTTTTATTTGTTTTTCTTATCACACCTAAACTTTCAAGTTTTTCTCAAAGATACACCCTGATTCATGTGTAGAATTGATTGGTCTTTCATATGGTATCAATTTTAGATTTTTATCGGATTATTTCAAAAACTACTTACCATTTAAACTACAAAAAGAGGTGATTGCGGCTAAGCATTGCGACAGCCATGTCATGTCATTGGGAAATTACGATTTCTTGTGCATCTTCATTTTAACTGTTCTCGAAGCCAGTACCTACTGGATGATTCATGCGTAGAATTTGTTGAACTTTTGTCTTTTGTCACTGTTAATGCCTTTATGAAATAATTCATCAAATCATTTCGCCCCGGCCGACATGAACGCCGCTGTGAGCCGGTTTTGGCGTCGG